ATCTCAAGGAAAATAATATCATTTTAAGATATATAGATTATAAACAATTAATGGTTGTAGGGCTAATGTGAAAATAGCAGATATAAAAATTTGTATATGTACATGCTTGTAAAAATCAGTTTATGTACTGTAATTATATCTAGTGTGCGATTATATAATTTTTGTTTTGAAGACAATTTATATATGTATTGTATATATCTATGTACACATGTATTTAACAACAAAATTATTTTCTTAAGAAAATTTTATGCTACAATACAAAAGTAAGAGTCTAGAAATCCGTATTGAATTTTATGGAAAACGACTTTATTTCGTAATGTTATCATCAAATAACAGATCCTTTATTTCACAATATTATGAAATACTTATTATGGTTTCGTTGGTTTCATCGAGTTTCCATCTGGATAACGTTTTTTAAAAGCTTTTATGAGTTGCGGGTCGATCAAGTGAACACCGTCTACCTGATTACCCAATGTTATCCAGTTAGGTTGAACATTATGTGGNACCTCATCGACATACATTCTAGACTGAGAGACGAATTGATCGAATCAAGAGATCAATATGGATACACAGACGCTATCGGTACCACAATATTAAATTGGGTTAGTTAGTTTTACAAATGATACCACACCTAATTATTGAGTGCATAGATCCAATAACTTTATGATCTTTTTTAGACTTCTACGTTGGCAAAACCATATTTAGAAAGGTGCAGAACACAAATATGGGCTAAGCATTTATTGGATGAAAAAAGGCTGACAAACAAACGCTTCCAATCTTTTCTGAAAAAACGTTTAGAGTCTCCTCACTCTATTGATTTGTGGACGTACATAGATGTACCACGATCAAGAATTGTTAAATATCCATTGCTGGTTAAAGAAATATTGAGACATACTCCAGCATCTCATTTGGATCAAACATCTTTAAAAGAAGCATATGATACATTATCCAAATTATTAAATGACATAGACAGAATCATGGGTGATGCAGAATGCAAGTTGGCTCAATCAAAGATTCATGTGAAATTAGAATATGATTCTTCTAAGTGTATTGAGAATGCAACAGAACTTATTACCGAGGGTCAACTTAAAGACACACGTGGCATGGTAAGAGTAAATTTAAAAAGATTTTTCTATTATTTTATAAAAATTGAATAATAAATTTATAATTATTTTTGTAGAAATTTCAGTGCTTTCTCTTTGACACGGGTTTCGCAATAACTCGGAGATCAAGATCTGTAAGTAAAAAGTACAATTTATCTTTTCCTGTCGTGCTCAAGGAACAAATCTGTGCGAGTGCAAATGATAAATCGCTTACAAATTGTGAAATCAATATTGGTGATCACATATTCACAACTGAAGATGAGCATGGGAAAAGACATTGGATTGATTCATTGAACAAAGTTTGTAGACTGAGAATCGATTTAGTAGAAAACAAAATTGGTACTAATGAAAAAGAAAATCAGGAAATTTTGACTCCAGTGAAAAAGAATCAGTCTACCAAATCTACAGTAAATAAAATAAGTGAAAATAATTTCCTTACTTTGAAAAGAAACTTTTTGAGATCAAAACGTGATAGTATTGGTTTCACTTAGTATTATTCAAATTACTTTTTATACTCGTGTACTATACTCAATTTAGAGTTTTCTATTTATAAATTGATATAGGATTTTNATCTCAAGGAAAATAATATCATTTTAAGATATATAGATTATAAACAATTAATGGTTGTAGGGCTAATGTGAAAATAGCAGATATAAAAATTTGTATATGTACATGCTTGTAAAAATCAGTTTATGTACTGTAATTATATCTAGTGTGCGATTATATAATTTTTGTTTTGAAGACAATTTNATCTCAAGGAAAATAATATCATTTTAAGATATATAGATTATAAACAATTAATGGTTGTAGGGCTAATGTGAAAATAGCAGATATAAAAATTTGTATATGTACATGCTTGTAAAAATCAGTTTATGTACTGTAATTATATCTAGTGTGCGATTATATAATTTTTGTTTTGAAGACAATTTATATATGTATTGTATATATCTATGTACACATGTATTTAACAACAAAATTATTTTCTTAAGAAAATTTTATGCTACAATACAAAAGTAAGAGTCTAGAAATCCGTATTGAATTTTATGGAAAACGACTTTATTTCGTAATGTTATCATCAAATAACAGATCCTTTATTTCACAATATTATGAAATACTTATTATGGTTTCGTTGGTTTCATCGAGTTTCCATCTGGATAACGTTTTTTAAAAGCTTTTATGAGTTGCGGGTCGATCAAGTGAACACCGTCTACCTGATTACCCAATGTTATCCAGTTAGGTTGAACATTATGTGGTCGCCCGAATAATTCAATTTTTCTTGTTCCCGGACTCATACGTTCAATAATTCCATAAATCTCGTCAGGTTTATGACTAGTAGCTCGGACTTCAGCCACGATAACATCGCTATCCAGTCCTCTATTGATTCTTGGATTTCCTTTCATTCCAACTAAACAGTGTTCTTTACCATGATTCAACCAGTGTCCTGTTCTGCCTGTTCTTATTATCCTCTGCAATTGATTTGTTTTCACCCATATAATCTCGTCGACTCTTTCGTACCCCCATAACTGCAAACATTCTCTGCCAAGCTCCATTGCTCTTCCTGTTACCCATAAAAATAAAAGACCCTCGTCTTGAAGGGCGGGTATACCTAGCTGTCTCATTTCGTCGTCCGACATGGTACCATACGGTAATTCCATGTGAATATCCCATGGTGGATCAGCCATGATCACAGCAAATTTACCCAGTACAGTCATGTCGAGATAACGTAAATCACACTGTATCCATTGTGGTGGATAAAGAGTTAATTCGCTGCCTAAGGACCCACTGGTAGTTGGACAAGCGACGTTACTACCATTTTTACTATCTAACGTTAAAATTTTATTCACTGTAGCGTTGTTTGTGTTATCTGTATCATTTGGTTCCTTGGGTTGAGTTGTTGGTCCGTCTACTTCGTAATGGACATACCTAAAAAATATGAAATTTGAATAAACAAAGCAAGGAAGGCTTTCTAATTTTCTAAATATTTTTTAAATGCATACTTGCATGTATCCATGTGAAAGCAAGTGTTGAGGAAACTGCAGTCACCTAAAGATTCATCTGTGTGACTTTGAATGATTTTTTTGAAGTGAAGCTTTTTGCACTTTTCTGCGAATCCTAGCCCACCATTTAACTTAACACAATCTACTCTTGTACCGTGAGGACAGAATTCCATGACCTGAGCTCCTCCTTGGGATCGAAACCGTTCAGCTAAAGATTTCTCCTTAGATGTTTGCTTTGATAATAAATCTAAAATTTGCTCTCCAACCTTTTTATTTTCCTTCTCCCTAATCGTGGGCATTGAAATTAGAGACATTATATCCTCTGTATTCTTTTTATCCAGTTTCAATTGCTTTTCTGCAGGCCCATAATCATTTAATTCGGATGCAGACGTTTCTGCACTCTCTGGATTTTCTGTATCGTCGGATTGAGACTGATAAGATGATTGCGATTCTGTTATGGATAACACTGTGTACCCAAAAACCTCATTCTCTGTTACCTCCTTGATTCTGAAAAAGTATTTCATTAATTTCAGTGTTCTCTAAATGAAAGTACAAGCTGATGCAGAAACTTACTAACTTAACAATATCTTGAGCTGCCAGTTTTTCCAAAATTTTATGGATATCTGTTGAAGACACATCTGCATTTAGATTTTTACGAAGCTGGTCTATCAGCTCTGCAGATGTAATGGGTAAATTAGGCAATGATTCATGCAAGATGCACAAAACATCTCTTTCATATTCACTATGATCTGCTCGTTGTGCATGTCCAATTGAATCTACAACAATCCAATTTTTTCTTTTGCAAGTATAAAACTATAAAGAGTTATTAATAAATGCGTAAAATAGTATTAAAAAAAATCAATTTACCACCAGTAAGGGATGATTCATTTGTCAGGGTGGATGATACTGGTGTAGTAGAAGTAAGAGTAAATAATTCATGTCTCTCGCGTTTCCTTTTCTGTAATTTTTCTCTTAAGCTGTTCCTCTTTATTTTAATGGCTTGAATTTCCTCAAAGGCGTCTGACATGTCTTGAAAATACATTATAAACAAATCTTAGAAATAAATATATGAAAAATATATAACTGATGAAGAAAGTATTCATACACGATACAATACTTTGTTTTTATCAAAGCATTTTGTAGAAACTGTATTTTCTTAAGTGGAATTTTCACATTATGCTTAAATAATATATTTAATGTTCATTCTTACCAAATTAGGGAACGAAAATTGATCTTGCTTTGAAGTAATAAACACACAATGAGATATCAAACAATTACATTGATACACATTTCAAAATTTATTAGTTTAAACGTAAGTAAGACCGCCGCAACCTTAATATACACTTAGGGATTAAAATAATTTAAGTTCTCGTTGTATTAAAAAAAATACTGTTAATTCAAGGCAATAGTGTATGAATACTTCCGTTTTTCACGGTAGCGGTCAAATGATAATACAAAAATATAGGGAACACTAGCTAGCAGAAAAATATTTGCACATTTTTTAGGAAAAAAATAAAATAATTTCACACCTTGCGACACCAATTAAAGTAACGTAAGCTGCTTAAAAATGCATACGTTTCCGTTAGAAGCACACAGCCACAAGCCACTGAGGACTATGCAATGAAGACACTAACCTGATCATATCTAGTAGCCTAGCTTTAACTGTAACTAAGAGTGAGAGAAACACATGGTGGATTCAGTGATGGGCAGATTTACTGGATTGTACTAGATTTACTGTGCATGAAGTAAAGTAATCGAGTGTTTGATTGTTATTGATGCTAACAATCGTACTGAACGATTTACGGTGAAAAACAGAGAAATGTCGAACACAAAGGAGTTTTTTCTTTCTGTTACACAACGAATTTTCAGTAATTGGACTGCGTTGAAGGTGAGATGATTTCTTTTAAGGTTATAAAAATGAATTTTGTTAAATTTTTTATTTAATATCTTTCATTAGATGGCAGTTGAACATGGAATGGGTTCGAAGGAAAGTGCGGTAGATTTTTGTCCTTACATGACAGAAGTAATGTACATGAATGGTAAGTTTCTACAAATTCTCATTTTTTAGGTTATTATTGGGTATTTTTGGATAGTATGCTTCGAAATGTTTGATTAAATCGTCCAAGTATAATTTGATCAGATTATATATTTTCTAAAACAATTCTCTAATTAGTTTCTGATAATTTTACAGAGAATTTAAACAGCAGTGAAATTGCTAATGAATTGGAAGATTACATGGATGAACACTTTAATACTGAACTGGAAGACAATAGTGCTACCCAAGTTGCAGAAGAGCTTTTGAGATTCTTCCATTATTGTTGTGAGAATAATGAAAGTATGGCAGTGACAGAACTCGAAAAATTACCACCACTCCAATCGTGGCTCCTTACAAGAACACCCATAAGGAGGATACAAAATTCCTCGATAATTGAAAGTGATAGTTCAGAAGATGAAGAGGAAGTGCATCAAGATATGCAGGTGGCAGATGAGTGGACAGAAGTGAAATCTAGGCATAGAAAATAACTGTTGCAGGATATGTAAAGGGGTATCCTTGTATTTGTTTTATATAAAAGAATATACAAACTACTGTCTTATAGTATTTATGCATTGATCTTGTAAATGCAATTTATATACTAAGATTTTGTAATCAAAATACTTATCTAAGCAGTCTTTAGATACTGTCAAATCTTATTTGGCAGTTCTATTCTCTGAATCTGCAAAGAAGAGATCGTTAGAGTTTCCTATATTTTATAAAAGCGTGTTTTGTAAGTACATAGCAGTGCTTCTCACCTTTCTTATTTCGAGTTAAAGAAACAGTACAGAAACCATTGTGTTCTTGCGTAACACTCTCCTTTTTGACTTCGTTCATTCTCTCTTCGGGGCCTAATATGCTTAAGATTATTGGTAAGAACAATAGTCCGTGAAATAGACCAAACATTACAACACATGTGAATAACTGTAACAATAAAGACCGTTATGTATGTAATTAAAATGTGATAACTCGTGAATAAAAGTTTTTAATATTACCTTAAAGAAGGTACTAAATAGATAAGCTTCACTGGAACCCAGCAAAACGAATGCTAAGAATGTGCTCAAACCTCCATTGAACACAGCTGGTCCAATTATAGAAAGTGTTGCGATTGCACGTTCTATAAATATGATAAAACATACAGTAATACTAAAATGTACCTTTTCTCCAATTAGCGAAACATATAGTCATAATATGTACCTTTTTTGCTACCCTTTGTTCGGATAAACTCCAGACCAATGTGAGCTGCATAATCAACTGCCAAGCCCGCGCACAATAAAATCATAATGCTCGACGACATTTCGATAGTCAAATTCAAGAAGTACATAGAACCTAATAGATCAATGAGCGTGAAGAAAACGCAGCAAAGAACCCAAAAGGATGTCTTGATGTCTCTAAGAAATATTACTATCACTACTCCAATGGTCACTATCTCAAGGCTCAAGTTTCTAATTAATTCTTCTCCTATCACCTATACAAAAAATTGTAAATTAAGTAGCAAAAAATGAGAAACCGTTTGAACTAAAATGTTGAGTACCTTGTTTGCCATCCAAGAGACATACTCGGGCGAAAATATCGCAATATAGTCAGGTTTCTGAGAAAAATTCACAGCTTGAATTGTTTCTCTGAGAGACTGCATTGCTTCTATTTGTTCACTGGTTGTGTTAATGAGTACATGTTGTATAGGTATTTGCGACGTCTATAAGAAGAGCCAGTATTATATTAAAAGGGAGACGATCAATTTTATACTACTTATTTGCTCGTAAATACCGTTATATTATATTCTCCAAACGGTGCTTTACTGAACTTGATGTCCTTGATGTATGCTTGACCTTCCATAGTCATGAGTAAGTATTCGCTAAGAATATTATAATATTCTTCGCTACTTTCAATGTCACCTAGAATAGTTAACGACTATTAATCCTCGAGCAATTGCCAATTAACATCAATTATAGCCCACCTTGGTTAGTAGCATTAAGCCACTTCTCATAGGCAATGAACCACGGTTCGAGGGTGCCATTATTAATGAACCGATTTGCTTTCAGGCTTTCTACCAATCTGTAAAGAGAATCACGATCCTCATAATAGTCTACACCGGTCATGTAAATGCCAGCCCGATTCCCATACTTGGGAAAGAATTCTTTCAGCTTGTTGTTGAATTTGATGGGATAGGAGTCCTGGTTTAAGTACGAAAGGGGATCGAAATTCTGCTCCAGCTGGAAGATAGCCCAGGTATTGATGCAGAGAAGACCGCCGGTGATCAACAGTATGACCGTCCTCACTGAGTTCTTCACCGCCCACGGACCGATATAATTTTCGAAGATGATCTGCTGAGTGTTCCTCTGGCTGCACTCGTTCGGCTTCCAGTTCAATCTAGGACAGCAAAAGCAACCGTCCCTTCGAGCTTCCAGCCTCTTCTCGTCGTAGACCAAGCAGCTCATAAAGAAGGTCATCTCGTAGATGTACAAAAAGAGGATGCCCAGGGTGGCGAATGCATAAAAGGACCTCAGACACGGCATTACCGTCGTCACGCCGAAAGCAAACGCGATCACGTTTGTGAAGGAGGTCACTGTGACGGACATGCCTTGAACAGAAGTTGGAAATCAATCGTCTGATTTAGAAGAAATCTCGATGAACCGATGTTTCCATGGGCCAATCGAGACCCCCTTACCCGACTGTTGCATCGCCTTGGCGAATCGGACCGGAAGATCGAGCGCCTGGTCGGCCTCCGACAGATTGGTCAGGCTCTGCATGATCACGAACATGTTATCGACGCCTATACCGAGCAATAGAAACGGTAGTATGGAGTGTATCGGCCCGTACGAGTATCCCAAGTAGTAGCACAATCCATACGAGGATATGATTGCCTGGCCAATCACAGAGACTCCCATTACTGACAAATAAATTCGTTGCTCCAGCGCGTTACATTTACCGATCATCGCCATCACGTAAACCGCGATCAGAGATATCCCGCAGCACAGTACTGATATGTTGCTGTTCAGTATCTGATGCAGCGTGTCTAAATAACTTCGCGAGGCGATTGCATAAATCTCTACCCCCGGTGGCATGGTCTCGTTCATGTGTAGAACATTATCTATGAACGCCAGTTCCCACGCGTCCGCGTTCGGGTTCGACTTCTTCAGCAACCAATTCAACATTGTCGCGTTCGCGCCCCGAACTCGGCCTTTCTTAGTGTAAGATACCTTCGCGAGCAGGGGAGCGATGTCTAGCAACAGATTGCTATGGACCCTGAAAAGAAACATCCGATCTGTATACGCTTTAGCTACCGGAAACCTACTCGTGGGACCTCCGATCAAATTTCTTAGTTATTTTGGAAGTCGAATCTAGAATTGAGATGATAATGAGATTATAATATATAATAATAATATATAATATATATATAATAATAATATATAATAATAATATATAATATATAATATATAATAATAATATATAATAATAATATATGAGATTATAAAAGGCAAGGACTTACTTGTACTTCAACGCCTTGGTGACATCTTTTAAAATCTCTTTTTTCGACAGCGTACGAAAATCTTTGGACAAGCTGGTCTCCCAAAGCTGCACGATGGACTGGTATATGCAGCCGTCCCTGAACACCGTATTGTTCAACTTGGAGATGACGTCCTCGGAGACGCCGAGCTCTTTGAAGAGATTCGTGGTGTCGTTCTTGTTGAACCAGGTCAGATACCTGCAAAGAAACCCGTTCTGTTCACCGAGGCCAACCGTTTCGTGGATTCTAGCTCCGATTCGAGACCTCACCCTGCGCACACGTCCTCCCAGGTGTGATTGTTCACCTTCAACCCTTTCACGGACCGCTCGATTTTACCGATCTGCGAAGAAGAGTACACAGTCTCGGTGATTAATCCCGTAGAAGCGTTATTCTTTGCCGAATAGCTGTTGAGGCTGATCGAGTCTCGACTATCATGCGTGAAAGTGGAAAAGAACCTTCGCAGATTAGTATAATTCATGATCGCCTTATGTACCAAACGCAGCACTTCTGGCTCCAAGACGTTGGGGGCGGTCACGATGATGGTCTCGTATCGGAACTCGTCCCGGAAGTGCGTTCTCACCCAGTTGGCGTCCTCGCGGATGATGGAATCGTCGGGGACGAACAGATCCACTTGGTTGACTTCCTCTTTCCAGAGTAGCATCCCCGGCGCGTACATACAGTTCACGCAAAAGGAAACCAGCAGCCATAGCCAGGGCCTCTTTCCTATACTCAGCCCGATGCTAAGGGATCAAACAGATTTTTCCAACATTTAATGAATCGATCTAACGCTGGATAACGTTGACTTTTCGATAGGAGAGAAGAGAATTAAGACCAAAGACTCTCTTTTCGAGAGTTCGTTCGCTCGTTTCAACGTTTAAAAAGAACGAAGAGATTAAAGTGAGTCGTGCACCGAATATTCATCGTTTCGTCGACCAACGCTGTCTAAGCTTAAAGAGCTCTTCGTGCACGGGAAGAGGAGACGATTGTTTAGCATAATGTCGCGTGAAACACGAATCAACCCAATCATCGGCACCGATCCAATTTCCATGGCAATGTCGCGGCGATGCCGCGAAGACGGACGAGGAATTCTTCGGGAACGGCCGGTCGTTTCGAATCGACAGAAATTCGTCGAATTTAATTGGTCGAATAGAAAGGCCGACGACCCCTGAATGAAATAATAAGAAATCGCCGCGGGAGGAGGGATGGCGCCTATAAACGGTCGGCCGTCTTATATAGACCGGTCATAATTCGTGGAACGAAAGAAGTACGGTTGATTCGGCTAATTAAGAGGGCCACGATGATCTCACCTTAAGTGGATTAAAGTGACGCGAGGCTCGAGCCCACGAAAAGTGAACGATGGTAATGTTATTACGTTCAACGAGATTTGACCCGGTGCTGATTGTCGATTGGCCACCGAGGCACGTGGAGATGCATCAATGGACATCGTAATTCGGTCGATTATCGGCGCGAATCAACCCTTCGCTATTTAAACGATGACCTGTCGCCTGATCTACGCTCCAACTACCTTTCTTTCGTTGACATAGAATCGGACCGCGTTCTATTCTCTATGGAGAAACAATCCTTCGCCGGCGAAGGCAACCAACGAATTTCATCGATACCTCTAACAATTCCGTCGCCAATTAAGTATCGAAAGGACCAAATCTACGACCAAGAACCGGTCGCGAATCACATATGTTCGAATGTTAAATTAAGAATAAAGTGCAACTTCACTAGGAGAAGGAGAACACAATCTTTTCGTTCGAACGGTGCACAGTTATCGCGTAAACCCGGCTTCGTCACAGACGGCTGTCTTCGGCAATTAACGTCCACGTATGAGATTACCATGGACGGATGTGTATATTTCAATGCCAATTCGTACGATGGAACCTGCTATTTAACGCGATCGTTCCGGTGACAATGCAGAAAGCGAGACACCAGGCATTCAACGACAGAAAACAACACGATCGCGCTTAATTCGCTGACATCCGATCTATTTTTTCCTGTCGATGCGGCGGGCAATAATCGCACCGTGAAAAAAAGGATCGATACGATACGAGACTGCGGGGTTTCTTTCACTATCCAGGGAGCGGACGAATGGGACAGATCGCCGAGTCTTCGACGAATGGTCCTGCGGATCCTTGTTCGAACGATCTTCACGAATCCTGATCCTTCGAGCGATCTTCGGGCTGTGTCTCTCTGTCTTCCTTACCGGAAATACGGTGACGGGATATCGATGGTCGAACGATCGACGATCCAGGATTCCTTGCGCAGGATTAGACGATTGATTTAGTCGGATCCTGCGGGCTCACTCACCGGTAGAATATGCGATCCGAGTTCAGATGGAAGTCGAGGAGTATGTTCTTGAATCGGGTCCACAACGAGGACCAGGCGCCGCTCGGTGCGTTCGCTCGTTCGATTTCCATAGTCGGCGTGCGACGCTCAGGTCGTTCTGCGGCCAAATGTCCACTGACAGCGATAGCGAGCACACGGCCGGAGTCCGGCAGCATGCATGTGACCAACGGTGGAAGTAATCTGCTACAATTATATAACGTTCGCTCCGGAGGTTCGTCTGCAGGGCCGCAATGGCGATGCCATCGGAGGATGAGGAGGAGCGGTATGCCACGGATCACCCCTCTATTGTCTCCTCCCGCAGGGTCAGCGGGCCCCGTGACCTCCGCGAGCCCTTCTCGGGTCCATTTCGTCCCTGAAAAGCAACTCTGGGTCGCGTAATCGACGAACGCGACGCGGCAATCTGAGATGACTGTAAGAATTTTTTTCACGGAAACCGTGCAACCGATCCTAATGAATCGTTTGAGGCAGTTTGCTGCGCCATTGAAGAAGTTAATGTATTTTTTTTCGTGGAGAAATGGCACTCCTTGTCGTGAATTTTCGAAGGCAGAATATTGGGTGCGCTCGCTTTACGCGTTTGGAAGTCACGTGGACGTTGAATATTTTTCTGTGAAAACCGTGCAACCGATCCTAATGAATCGTTTGAGGCAGTTTGCTGCGCCATTGAAGAAGTTAATGTATTTTTTTTCGTGGAGAAATGGCACTCCTTGTCGTGAATTTTCGAAGGCAGAATATTGGGTGCGCTCGCTTTACGCGTTTGGAAGTCACGTGGACGTTGAATATTTATCTGTAAAAACCGTGCAACCGATCCTAATGAATCGTTTGAGGCAGTTTGCTGCGCCATTGAAGAAATTAATGTATTTTTTTCGTGGAGAAATGGCGCTCCTTGTCGTGAATTTTCGAAGGCAGAATATTGGGTGCGCACGTTTTACGCGTTT